CCTGTGAACTTGCAGTCTTTTAGAAATTTGGAATTTGGAGTGTGATATGTGTGGGGTAATATATACATACATACACACATACATACATACATACATATATATCACGTGTTGTAATGGAAAAAGTCTCCATTTCTGTGATTTACCTTTACCCTTTTAGTTGGTGTCTTTTGAGAAATAGAAGTTCTATTTCTTAGCAAAATTTAGTTATAAAGTATTTTCCTTTTACAATTACTGCTTATTATCATTCCTTCCCAGTTGTCTCAGTGCTATCTTCTAGTAATTGATTATTCTTCTGATGCCAGGTTTTTTTGTTTTGTTTTGTTTTGTTTTCTAATTCAAATTAGAAACAAGCCTGCTTCACACATCAATCCCTTCTCCCTCTCCCTCCCCTCCCCCCAAGTCCCCACCAGTTCCCCACCTCATCCCCCCTCTACTCCCCAGGGAGGATAAGGCCCTTCATCAAGGTTCTCCCAAAGTCTGTCATATCATCCTGGGCAGGGCTTAGGCTTTGGAATGGGCTCCCAAAGTCCCTTCTTACGCCAGGGATAAATAGTGATCCACTGCCAGGGGCCCCATACAATGAAGAGACCTCTCATTGAACATCCACATTCAGGGGTCTGGGTAAGTCCAGTGCTGGCCTCCCAGACATCAGTCTAAGTGCTCCCCCTTGTTCAGGCCAGCTGTTTCTGTGGGTTCCACCAGCCTGGTCCCTACCCCTTTGATCTTCATTCCTCCTTCTCTCCAACTGGGTTCCAGAGTTCAAGTTCGGTGTATAGCTGTGGGTGTCTGCCTCTGCTTCCATCAGCCACTGGATGAGGGCTCAAGGATGGCAAATAAAGCAGTCAGCAGTCTCATTATAGGGGAAGGGCATTTAGGGTAGCCTCTCCACCATTGCCTAGATTGTCGTTTGGTTTCATCCTTGTAGATCTCTGGAAATTTCCCTAGTGCCAGATCTTTCCTTGGACCTATAATGACCCCCTCTGTTATGGTATCTCTAATCTTCCTCTCCTCTATTCTTCCCCGTCTCAACCTTTCTGCTCTTCCATTTCCTCCTCTCCCCTCCTCTTCTCCCCCTCTCATTCTGCCAGCTCCCTCTCCCCTACTACTCTCATGCTCCCAATTAGCTCATGAGATCCTGCCCCTTCCCATTCTCGAGAGTCCATGCATTTTTCTCTAAGAAATTCCTTCTTATTTCCTAGTTCCTTTGGTGATGTACATTGTAGGCTATGGTGAAGATGATTGTAGGCTGGCATTCCTTTTCTTTATGTCTAAAATTCATATATGAGTGAGTACATACCATGTTTGTGTTTTTGTGACTAGGTTACCTAACTCAGAATGGTTTCTTCTAGTTCCATCCATTTGCCTGTGAATTTCAAGATTCCATTGCTTTTTTTCCACGGAGTAGTACTCCTTTGTGTAAATGTATCACATTTTCTCTATCCAGTCTTCATTTGAGGGGCATCTAGGTTGCTTCCAAGTTCTGGCTATTACAAACAATGCTGCTATGAACATGGTTGAACATATGTCCTTGTTGTATGATTGCTCATCTTTTGGGTATATACCCAAGAGAGGAATGGCTGGATCTTGAGGTAGATTGATTCCCATTTTTCGGAG